GGTAGATGGAGCATCTTAATTGCATACCCTTAACATCCAATAAATTAACTAACGAATTTATTAAAGAATTCAGTTTTTTTAAATAAATTTTAAATAATTTTAATAAAATAATAAGTAAGGATAAATACACCCTTCTTATCCTCTTCTCCGATTTCCTCTATTTAAATAGACCATCCTCCTCGTTAATATCAATCATCAATACACAAAAAACTCACCACCTTCTAAACTACAAAATGACGGTTAGAACTTAGAACTCTCTCTTCTTCTTCTTCTACTAATTCTCTCATAGCCATATGAATGCATGACATAATGAAATTTTTCCTTTTGCTGCAGACTATTATAGAAATGAGAGTGCATATGGATTGTCCAGGTTGCGAGGCCAAGATAAAGAAGTCTCTTCAAAAACTTGATGGTAGATATTGAAATTATAACTTTTGCACTAAGAAGAAGCTGGAAATCATGATATAGTTTAATACGGGGATGATTCGATTTTCATGTTCTGTTTCAGGGGTGGATGATGTTGACATAGACATGGCCATGCAAAAGGTAACGGTGATGGGTTGGGCGGACCAGAGGAAGGTCCTCAAGGCGGTAAGGAAGACTGGAAGAAGAGCGGAACTGTGGCCGTATCCATACAACCCTGAGTACCATAACTATGCCCAACAATACTATTCGCAGCAGCAACAGCAGGTTCTTCGACGCCAGCCGCCGATCACTTACCAGTTTCTGGCTGTACCGCGGGCTGCATCATCGTACAATTACTATGTGCATGGCTACGACGGCCATGACTATGGCTACTATCAACAGCCGCCTTATTCTTCCTTAATCGATGAACAAAGTAGTTCCATGTTCAGTGATGACAATCCTCACGCTTGTTCCATAATGTGACATTTAATTTCAAGTATTTTCGTTTGCTTTGACAACTTTGTGGATGTGTTTTAAAGCTTTGTGAATAAGATTTCATTTGAATTGTGCAACATAAAGTATTTATTTGAATTGTGCAACATAAAGTATTTATTTGAATTGTGCAACATAAATATTTTTGCCGGCCACAATCTCATCTTGAAGGTTTGGACTCATTCGAAGATTGCAAATTTGTCCTTATTTCATTGAATCCAAAATTAAAATGATGAGAAATGCAACGACTAACTAATAGTCAATTCTTTTCAAATTTCTTTAATAACTTCGTTTTTAAAT